ACAGTCAACCGTTGCAGATTCGACTACAGAAGTCGAGTACATAGCAGCATCGGATGCAGCTAAAGAAGCTGTTTGGATCAGGAAATTTGTGGGAGACCTGGGGGTCATTCCTAGCGTTGCAGATCCCATTGAGTTGTATTGTGACAACAATGGTGCGATCGCACAAGCAAAGGAACCTCGGTCACACCAGAGATCCAAACACATACTCAGGCGATTTCACTTGATTAGGGAATTCATCGACAGAGGAGACGTGAAGATAAGTAGAGTGTCGACAGATGATAATATTGCCGACCCGTTGACGAAGCCTCTCCCTTCGTCAAAGCATGATGGTCATGTTGTGGGTATGGGGATTAGATGCTTGTAGGATAGATCATAGAGCATAGTGGGAGATTGTTGGTTGTAATGCTCTACGATGATCCGTGATATGACATTTTTGACTATGTATTGATTCATTGGTTTATGAATACATTACTTTTCCCGTTATATGATTAGCATGTTTGTTATATTATCGTAAATATCCTTGAATCATTGCAGATGATTCTAAACTCCCTGGTCAGTTATCATTGTGCGAACAATGATGAATTAAGACCAGCATGATGTGTGATAGATGATTATGATCATGTGCATTGGATGCAAATCACAATCATGGGTTCTCGTTTGGAACGAGTTACTGGATGACCCGCATGAGATTGTCACATGGACATGAGTCATGACTTGAATCTCATACAGCGGTTCATTCTTGGATCCTCGGACCTGAGATGTCTAGAGTATCTGATATGAGGAGTGACATGTCTTGACTGCGTCAAACGTCGTCTTTAACCGGATGATCATAACGGCGTTGCTCAGATACGTTCACGGATCATATGCAGATAGTAGACATGCAATACGGGACTTGTCACCTCCTACGCAGGAGAGATGTCGCTGGGCCCCCTCGTGGAAATCGGACTGTGAAAATACGTGGTCACGCTATAGATGAATGTACATCTATTTTATCAGTCGATTTGCCTAGACGAGTAAGCGGTTGAACGTAAGGGATGGATCACACGTGAAGAGAACGACGCGAGAAAGGAACCACGGAACGAGCTGGAAGAGTTCCAGATGGCCAGACCGTCCGTTCCAGGTTTGGAACGGACGGTCCAACCATGATGGTCCGTTCGTTCTGCTGAGGAACAGACCAACCGTTCCGCAAAGGGCCAGACCGTCCGGTCCAGGTGTGGACCGGACGGTCCAGGCATCAAGACCGTCCGTTCTGCGAGGGAAAGCGAAACGTCCGTTCCGCGTGGAAAGCCAGACCGTCCGGTCCAAGACCTAGACCGGACGGTCCGACTTTCGGGCAGATTTCCTATTTCACGTTTTAAGGGTTTTGGGTAATTCTAATTAATGAGAGAGCCGCCACAAACCCTAGAGAAAAAACCTCAGACGTCCAAGACGCTCATGAGAGCTTAGAGAAGCTTGATTTTGAGTTCTAGTGATTGGAATATCGATTCCAAGTCAAGGACATCGTTTTCTCTTCACAAATCCTAGCAGATACGTTCCAAAGTGTTGGAATTCATCCCGCCGGTGTGGATACGTGTAGAGGAGTTGTGCTTTCAACTCTCGGTGATAAAAAACAGGCCCTGGATCGATTGATACTTCCAGATCTAGAAAGAACGAGGTAAGTATTCGAATCCCACAACGATATACACGATTGTTCGGGTTATTGCACAATTGGTTTTGTGTGACGTTTGGCAGGGTTTAGATATTTCCTTCCGCTGCGTGAAACCTAGAATCCAAACCCTAGATCGATGAGATCGCATGCTAGGAACCCGAAGGGAACCCAACAAAAAGACGTATATGAATCGAGTCAGGGTGATATTGTCGACAATCAGATGCACTAAAACATAGATTAGTGGTCATGCTAGATATTAGTCAAACTGGACGCATCCGTCAAACAAGTCAAACTAGAAACGAAGCAAAGTGTTCAAACTCATCAAACAAGTCGCACTGTAATGAGTTTGATGAGTTTGTAGAATCTGATAATGAGTGCTAAATTTGTTTTTGCAGGTACCTTTTGTATATGATTTTAAGGACATTTATATGGCTCCTAAGATCACAACGAAATGTTATCCATATCAGACCATTCGATCTCTTAAAAAGGTCTTGACAGATGAAGAATTTAAATATTTCAAAAAAGAATATCAGTTTCGGCATATTTTCCATCTTGAATGTAAGGACACATTGAAGATGGTTCTGGCGTCAGTCCTCTTACATCGGGCACTAAAATTAGAAGGAGAAGTGAAACATCTATG